GAACTCGCTGATTCACCTAGGCTGGCTGACTGCTGAGCCCTGGGATAAGTATATCTCTGCGCCTACCCTCTAGCACTGGGGTTACAAACATACAAGTCACCCCTGGCTTTTACATGGCTGACTGGGATCAAAACTCAGGTCCTCACGCTTGCAAGGCAAGAACTTTACTCACTGAGCCATCTCCTCAGTCCTATTTCTGGTGTGTTTTGAGACAATGTCTTGCTATGTAAGCCAGGCTGTCCTGAAACTTTCTATGTAGCACAGACTGGCCTTGAATTCACCGGTTCTCCTGCCTCAGTCTCCCAAGTGCTGGGATTACAGATGTGTGTCACCACACCTGGCTCTAATTGGGCTCTAATGTTATCCTTGGGTGGGGAACATGTTAATCTCTGTACGCTTCCAATTTTAGAATTTGTGTTGGCTAAGTGAGCACTCATACCTGGCTCTGAAAATGTAGTCCAAGCTGCCCCTGATCTCATGATCCTCCTGCCTCACACTCCTCAACTGGAGGAGCCCTGGTACATGCCACAATACCAACTCCATGTTTTTGTGTTTTGATCTTTGAACATGTACAGTGTGTGTGTGTGGGGGGGGGGAGTCCATATCTGTGCCACATCATGCATGTGGAGTTCCGAGGGAAACCTTGGGTGTCTGTCCTTACCTTCTGCCTTGCTTGAGGCAGTCTCTCGTCCACTGCTACATACACCAGGGTAGCTGGTCCTCGAGATTCCAGGGACTCTTCCCATCATTCCATGGGTGTGGGGATTATAGAATGTGCACGACTATATCTGGATTTATGTGGGTTCTGAGGATTAGAATTCCTGTCCTCCCATTTGCACAGCAAGCACCTTACCCATTGAGCCATCTTCCTAGTTCAACTTTTTAAATGTGGATATTGATTTTATTTATTTTTGAGACAGGGTCTCCCTGTAGCCCAAGCTGGCCTGGAACACACAATATAGACCAGGCTGGCCTTGATCTCACAGAGATTCATCTGCCTCTGCCTCCCTGGGGCTGGGATTAATGGGGTGCACCACCAGGCCCGGCTCTTATTTTTATTTATGTGTATGTGTGCCTGTGCATATGAGTGCAGGGCCCATGGAGGCCAGGAGAGAGCGTCATATCCCTTGGAGCTGGAGTTACAGGTGGTTGTTAGCTGCCATGTGGGTGCTGGCTTTGAACCTGAGTCCTCTGGGAGAGCAGCAAGTGCTCTTAACCACTGAGTCATCTCTCCAGCTCCCTAATGACATATGTCATCAGCATGACATTTTCATAAGACAGCTCTGTTCCATAGGTGAGGAGATTAAAATATCTCCCTACATACATATGCATAGTATACATAAGTTATACACTAAACAGAATGGGAGGTAGTGATAAATGTCACAAGGAAAACAAAGCAGGCAGAGTGGGTGGAGGACTCACATGTGATGTCAGCTGCTTGTGGTTTAAATAATAGATTCATCGTCACAGTCCAAGGTTAAGGCTTGTAGAAGACACATCTTCTCCCCTGGTCCTCACAAGGGTCATCCCTCTGTGTACGTGTCCAGATCACATTGTGCGTGCATGTGGCTGTGCACGTGTGCCCATGAGGTGTTGTTTCTCAGGCACTGTCTACTTTTTCTTTTTTGAGGCAGAGTCTCTCACTGAACAGAGCTCACCAATAGGCTAGACCAGGTGGCCAGCAAGCCCCAGAGATCCTCCTGTCTCCATCTCCCCAGCATTGAGATTATAGGAACCTGCTACCACAAATGTGGGTTTTAGGCACTGAACTCAGCTGCCTCATGCTTGCACAGCAAGCGCTTTACTAACTGAGCCATCTCCCAGGCCTGATCATCTCTACTTAAAAGGAAGTCAGTTGGATTGGAGTCACCCAAGGCCCTCCTCTCACCACCCCCGCTTGTGTCCTTGCAGGTCCTGCCTTCAGCTACAACCCCGTTCTGGGGCTGCTTCTCCTGAAAGGATATAGCCTGTGGCAGTCAGCACAAGAGCAGAGCCTCCACGCAAGATGCTCCCTGACCAGACACTGGACTGGAACTAGGTTATTTCTTTGCTTTTAAAAATAAAAGCACTGGGGGCTGAGGAGATGGCTCCACAGTTAAGAGCACTAGGTGATCCTGCAGGGGTCTGGGTTCAATTCCTAGCACCCACATGGCAGCTAACAACTACTATAACTCCAGTTCCAAAGGTTCTGATGCCCTCTTCTGGCCTCTGCAGGCACCGTACACATGGGTGCACTTATATACATACAAGAAGGCAAAATAGTCATACACATAAAATAAAAACAAAGAAAGGGCCAGTGAGAGGCTGTGGATAAAGGTGCTTGCTGCTAAGCCTTGATGAACTGAGTTCAATCCGTGGGACCCACATTACCACAGAGAACCAACTTCTGCAAGCTGTTCTCTGATCTCTACACATGCGCTGTGGCATACATGTCTCCCCCTCCCGCCAAAAAAAAGTTTTTTAAAAGTGACCCAAATGGCACATGAGTCCAGGGAGACACTGGTGGCTCACCCTCACACACGGAGCTGGTGTTTCAGCAAGACTTGGTTCTCAGGAGGCTTTGATCCAACTACCAAACCCAGCAGCAGCAGCAGAGCTGTGGATGGCAAATTTCCAAAACAGATTGTTGAGAAAAACCAAGCTGCAAACAAAACACGGTTATAAAAACACACAGAATGCAATGAAACAAACCCAGGGAACCTTCCACCATTCATATGTGAGGTGTGTGGGTCCACTCACCAGGCAGAGAGGCTGGGACTAGGCCAAGGCAGGAAGGCTTCTTTCTATGCTGTCTCTTATATTGTTGGAGGTTTATTTGTTTTGTTTTAAAATGTTAAGAATGTATCCAAATTGTTCCATTAAAAGATAAAGCAGGTATCAAATACCCTAGCTTGGGCTTCGGCTCCAATCATTGGCTCTCTCTGGTTCCATGACTTAGGGTGAAGCCCTCACCCTCTCTGAGCCAGAAACAGTCTTAGAGCTGCAAGCATGTATCTATACATGTACCTATGTGGATTCATGCATTCAGGACATACCACGTGTGCATACACTCATGCAATCTAGACACAAATTTTCATATCAAGAACATGTCACATATATACATGTGTGCACAACCAGTATACTGTGTGTGTGTGTGTGTGTGTGTGTGTGTGTGTGTGTGTGTCTCCATTTTGAGCCCCTGGGCCTCTAAGCTCCCCTCATAGGCAGTATGAGGACCAAGGCCCACCCTGTATTTGGCCGGGGGTGCTGGTGACATCAAAGCAGGAGGGGCCCTGCCATGTCTGACAGAGAAGCTGGAAACAGGTTGAATTTACAGCTGGGAACCTAGGTTTGAATCCAGACCCATAGTTGACTGTGGGGCACATCCCCTGCTTCCCGACCTGGGTCTGCAACCTGATGCCACTTAACTTGCAGGGCATGATGGGACGGGGACCAGCTCATCATGAGAAACAGCCCTGCCAGTTGGGTAGTTCAGCCCAGTATAGCCTGTCCTCGCTGCCGGGGCTCCTGATGCTGTCCTGGTACCTAGGCACCTCATTTTGAACAGTCTGTGGTTGGACCCTGGGGAGAGCTGGGAGCTGGAGACAAACCCACCATCTATTCTTCCCAGAGGGCCTTGCAATAACGAGGGCAAATTGGGAGACAGGTGGGGACAGCAGGGTCCCCTGGTGGGGGAGCCAGAGGCTGAGGCACAGCAAATCCTGTTACCTCTGGACCATGACGCTTGTCACAGGCACTAATCCCTTAAAAGGAGCTATCAGCAGCTTAAGACCCATTTAGCAATGGGTGGCCACTAAGGAGTTGCCAGGGACTGCTAGACTAGAACTTTCTAGAACTTTCTCTGGCCCAGGGCCACCAGGCCAAGCCTATGTGCTCCCTGTGAGCTACCTGAGCTGTCTGATCTCTATTCCACTTGCAGCCCTGCAGCAGTCCAGTAGGGACCATGGGGTCGCTGGTCGTGTGGCTAAGTAACTGGCAATGCGTGGAGTCAATGGTACTGGGGTTCCAGAGTCATGGGGTGTGTTCATCAGTGAGTTGGGGTGGGCCTGGTGAGGTATGACTTCCAAGTTCTGCACCCCAATTCTCAGCTTCTGCCCTGATCTGGCAACTGAGAGTTCTAGCTCAGGGGAACATGTTTGGTATGATCCGCAGAAGGCAAAATACATATACACACATACCATATACATACACCATATATAAATATCACACCTTCACCATACACAGACCATACCCACATATCCATATACACCATAAACATATACCACACACACAATACACACACATACCATATACATATACCACATAGACACTCAGGCCCATGCATACACACAATCATGCACACTGGTCTGGACCTGTCCCTGGCCCAGAGACAAGGGCTGGGTAGACAGCTCCATCCTTGCTCCCAGCCTAGGGCCTAGCAACACCCCTGAAGCCCATTCCCCTTCTCCCACAGTGCCTCTGGGGCTCCTAATTAGAGGGTGAGTCACCAGCACAGGGCTAGGGGGAGTAACTGGCGTGGACAGGTTATTTCTCTGTGCCCAAAGCACCCTGGACCGCTCTGAGCACTCAGCAAAGACCAAGAAGTGTGGATGAATGAGTGTCTGGCTGGCAGGCCAGCTGGGGGCTCCCTGCTTAAGTCCTCAAAGCCCAGAGCTGCCCATGTGGCTATGGGCAGAGCTGCAAATCGGTGAGGGATGCAGCAGACACAAAGCTCTGCCAGGGGTTCAGGTCACAGAGGCCTTGGGGTGTCCAGCAACCCCTCATCACATCCTGTCACAGCAGGCCCTGGCCTGGGACTGCTCAGCTCACTGATGCTTAGGACACTCAGGCTCCCAAGGATGGGACACATCTACCCCTAAATACTCCCTGACCCCCATCCTTCTCTCAGGCTGCCTACGAGCAAATCTGCTCAGGTGTCCACGGGAGTGTGGCAGAGGGTACAGTGGGGCCCTGGGCAGCCAGGCAGCTTGGGCCTCAGACACACAGGACCAAGCGGAGAATAATGGAGAAAAAGTTTTATTTCATCAGGCCAGGACTGTGGAGTCAGGCCACAGCCTGGCCACCAGTTCTCGCACCAGGACAGCTGGTGTGGGGACACTTCAGGACAGGAAGGGGCTCAGAACAGAAGGAAGGGGAAGAGAGGCCCAGTGTTCCAGGGAAGACAAGAATATGGGGGGATAGGATCGGCATGGTAGTTCCTAGCAGCTGTCCTACTGGCCAGGGACATGAGACAGGGTGGCCATCTGAGCAGAGGCTGTGGCTTAATGTGACACGATGCAGTTACAGTGGCAGAGGGGACCAGGGACAACGTGGAGTGACTCTGTGGGGATGAAGGGCTAGTCTGAGTCTGGGGCCGTAGATCTGAGATACAGTGCGTGCAGGCTATAGAGTGGGTCTGCCATGGATGGGCGAAAGAGCGACGTGGTGCTGCAGAGCAGGGATGGCACAGGCCAGCCTGAGCTCCAGCAGCTACAGAGAAGGGATGCTGGGTGCAGGCTATGCTGAGATCCTGTGGCTGCGGAGTAACGACACAGTAGGTGTGAACAGGTTAGGCCGAGGTCTGTCGGCTGAAGAGCTCGATGGTGAGTGCGCTGAGGAAGGCGGGGATGCTGTCCTGCCGCAGCAGGTGCAGTTCAATGAGCTCAGGCACGGAGCGCGAGAACTCTGTCTCCAGCAGCTGCATCTTAGAGCCCGAGGGTCCCGTGGCCTGTGGGTGGGAGAGACAGGAGTGTGGTCAGCACTGGCTGGTTGGCAGGTGTCTACCTTCTGTTCCGATGTGCTCTCTAGTGGAGGAGCAGGGATGGGGAGGGCGATGCTGCCTGAGACTAGGAGTAGAATCCGGGTCAGAGAGGCACTGGCCTGCTTCTGTCCACTGCTTACAAATCCCAAATTCAAGGTCATTAGCAGTGAGAGCTGAGATTCGCAGCAAGCAGCCAGCCCTGCCCCAGCACTGCTACTCCCTTCTTCCTCGGCACCCCACGTGCATTCCCAGGAGCCTCCGTCCCAGTCCCCAGCTCCTCAGCTGTCCTGCCCCATCTGGGAAGCCCAAGTGAGCTCCAAATTTCTTCCCGGATATGTAGGATCCTCCCAGTCTCAGTTTCCCAGTCTGTGCAGCCAGGGTGCTAGGTGGTCCGGGAAACCCCAAGGGAGGTCTGGCCCAGGTGGAGGGGACTCTGGAGGCCCGATGGTCCTGGTTCTGCTTCCTCTTGTCCATGTCACTTATAACTGAGGGAAGGGCAAGGTGGGTCTGTGACACTGTGTGTCCACACTGTGTGTGGAAGTGGCTTACAGACAGGCTCACAGCTGCAGTGGGACACAGGTCAGAACTCTGGGTACAAACGGGGAGACTGAGGCTTAGGGAACCTGGGCTTGCCCAGATTACTTCAGTCTTGGCAAGTCACCCTACTGTGGTGCAGGCTGGGCTGGGAGGAGCAGACAGAGGCCCTGGGCCTCCCTCTTACTCCGACTTTCCCAGCTGTTACTCATCCTAGGCCTCCCCTGCCAAGCAGCACTGGCCACTCAGTTGGTGGGGTGTAGGGAAGGTCCTGTGTTCAGGGCCAGGAAAGTGGCAGGCATAAACTACCTAGGCTCCCTCCCAAACCTTAGGTCTGATAAAGGACTGGTGTCCAGAAAACCTAGAACCCTCTTGACTCAGCCCCAGAAAGACAGAGGGCCCCATTAAGAGCAGGGCAAAGGTCTGACCAGGTAAGCAGTAGATGTGCAGATCCACTATGGGTGATTAGATGGATGTGAGTCAGGAGGATCCCATAAGGATGCTAAGAAAGATGAGAAGCACTGCATCTCTAGTGGAAGTATAAAAAGCACAGCTCCTTCCTCAGCAATGTGACTCTGTGACTGCACTCTAGGGTGTGCCCAGGACAACTGAACCTATGCATCCACAGAGAGTAACGGAGATGTATATATGAGTGCCCACAGTGACATGATTCACAACAGCCCCACGGTGATGCAGGAATAAACCAACTGTGGTTTAGCCACCAAGGAAGCATTACTCAGTCATGAAAAGGGGAGGGCACACATAATGTGTGCTAGTTCAGGGTTACACCTTGAACAAGCATATCTACATGATTTCATCGACAGGAGGCATCCACATGGGCAATGTGGCAGAGGCAGGGGCCAGGGTGGTGCATAGCAGAGTGAAGGGGGTGGGGAGTGCCTGCCCTGGGTACTGTGTTTTTCTGGGGGTTAGCCTGTGCCAATGGATGCACACTAAAACAAAACTCATAATGATAGATGAAGCTGTGGCAGGGGAAGTGTCTCAATGATACAGCTGGCCTGGCAGCTCCCAACAGCCACACTCACACCAGACCGAGGGTCTAGGGGGTGGCACCCCTGCCACTGGCTCCCCAGCATGAGCAAGAGGGATCTAGGGAGGCTGCAGGGGTTTGGGCTGTGTCACCAGGTACCACCCTCATCCCTTGCAGGGCATCAAAGCAGGTGCTGCTGTGTCTAACCAACCCCTGAGCTGCCTCCTGCCTCTTGCTTGTTACCTGGGCTTTCCTTCTGTTTTCTCACTTGGGCCGACCCCCAGCCTTGTTCCCATGGCCCTTAATTCATTTAGCCTTGTCATAGTTCAACACAAACCATCTTTAAACAAAAATAAGAGAAACCACTCTGACCTTTTCTCAAGAAAATCCTTTCATTTCTCCCTTCTGCTCTCAGCGCACAATGTTTTCCCCGAAATGTCAGAGGGGCTGACACCGCAGCAGCTGTCGGGGAAGCGGAGCCGGCAGGGCTGCTGGGTGGGGGTGGGAGCAGGGCAGGAGGAGAAACTGCAGAGTTCCTTCCCTTCCCAGGACTCCCATGGCCTGGCCGTCCTCTGGGTTTCATGCCTCATGCCTTCCCTGCCCTCGCTAGATGATGGGGGCCTGGGTTCTAGATGAGAGAGAGAG